CCAACATTAAATGTGCCACGTCATAGCTCAACTTGTTTCTATGATTACAGAAAAGTAGTGGGTCAGCACATCACCAAAAATCCTAGTGCATTTGTTTTGATGATTAGAATTAGGCTAAGCAAGAGGCTTAAAGCTTCTATTATTATTTTTGCAAAGTGATAGCTCTGGTGGCTACTGTATTCTAGGATTCTTCTGAGGAATGTATAAGTTAGATCTGGAAAACAGGAATGGTGCCTAGTCATCATGTTAGCAAAAGAGCTAATTAAAATGTATTAGTATGTGATGGATGTGACAGATTAGGAATAAACTCAACTGCAGCAAAATTGTTGTCTAACATCCCTACTGTATATATAAGGCAATATCCTTGGTGAGTTTATTTGTGGTGCCATTTGATATATAAGAGGTGACCAGGAGGGGGGAAGGGAGGATTTGGAGACTATAATAGGTCAACATCAGTTGAAAAGAGCAGAGATGTTCTAAAAAAGAGAATATTTGGCAGGAGGTGGGGTAGGTGTTACAGGTCATGAATATTTATTTTTCACTATGTGAAGGTTTGCAATGTGGAATGTTCTGCTTGGCCCTGCAGAGAATCAAAGGGGAGAAACTGAAGAAAGACACATTTCAGCTTAATACAAGGAAATATTTCCCCAAAGTTAGAGTTGTCCAAAGTGGAATGGGCTGCTTCTGGAGGTAGTGAGTTCCTCATCATTGGAGGTCTTTAATTGGAAGCTGGCTAATCATTTGTCATATTGCAGAGAAATTTCCTATTTAGTTACAGGCTAGACTGCATGTCCACTCTGGTTCCTTCCAGCTCTAGGATTCTGTGATATTGCTGGGTTTTGCAGCAGTGGCAACTAAAATAGTACCTGCATGGTCAGTCAAAAGCAAACTCGTATCTTTTCAAACAGAGAATTGATTGTGCAAGCAACAATTTGTTCAGTAGGTAGTCCATCTACTCCCCACCCCAGACTACACCTTCTACTATCCCAGTTCCTTCAAAATGTTGCCTTATCATTTAGAATGTGCCAGATCTTTCAATACATGAATTTACTTGAACATATACATATATAAATATGTGTGAAATCCAAAAATTGACCATTAATAATGTCAGCTTGAAATTTATTTTTATCCATAGCTTAAACTTGGTGACTCTATAAAGTGCTTGGAAAGGGAAGAAACTAAACAATCAGCTACAATTAGATCTTGGGCAGACTGGTCACTTGAGAGCTCTCTACCATGTTTGGCTAATGCAACTTTAAAATAATGTACTAATTCAGGTCTGTCTGTTTTGCTATTTCTAGGTCTGGGTCCTGGTTATCATTTAGGCCCACAGATGTGGTTGACATCGATTTATGTAAAAGAGGGTAGGAGCCAGGTTTAGTACCACATTTGTGACTCAGTATAGTAGGACTCAGGTCTCAGAATGTTGAAACATAAACCCATTTTCCAGTCCTCCTTCCAGAGGTCTTTTAAAAACTTTTTTTAGTTGACATCTTTTGTTTTTATAGACTGCTATTTTCAAATCTCTCTCTCTTTTTCCCATCCTCAAAAACAAAAAAGGGGAGGGGGTGGGGAAAGCAGTTTGGCAAAAGTCATCAACACATAAACCAAATCTGCTGGGACATGTAATGTTTTTCTTCCACAGCACTCACTTCTACAAAGAACGGAGGAGGGTGCAGTTTCTTTTGTCTTCTTTGGGGTCAATGTCGATCATTAAGTCATATAATATTCAAGTTCTTGCGGTTGCTGTTGATGTTCTTCCCATTTATATAGTTGTAATCATTGTGTATATTGTTTTCCTGGTTCTACTACAATTGTCATCTGTCAATTTAAGTCTTCCCGGTGCTTCTCTGTATTTTTCATATTCATCATTTTGTATGGTACGGCAATATTCCATTACATTCAAGTACCATATTTTATTTAGCTATTCCTTAAATGAAAGGCATTTATTTTATTTCTATTTCTTTGCAACTACAAAAAGTGCTGCTTTCAATATGTTGGTATATATATTAGACCTTACTGTCTTTGATGACTTTAGGGTATACATCTAGCAGTGTGACTTCTGAGGCAAAAGGTATGGCCATCTTAGTCACTTTCTTGGCATAATTCCCAATTCTGTAACTCTCAGAGCTTGTGACAGATAGCCTTTAATTTAGAGTAGACATGAAACTTAGGTTGTTACTTGATTTACCTACAGCTCCTCCTATGTAAAATGAGGGTGATGGGCTAAATGATCTCTAAACTTCTTTCTGGCTCTAACATTTTATATTTTATGATCAGTCCTCTCTAATTTCTACTTCCTCACCTTTCTATTTCCTTCTGTAATTCTCACCTTTATAAAGAACTACTTCAGAAGAGGGAAGATAACAGAGTAGAAAGCCCTTGAGAGTCAGAGTGTCCCAGCTGCACCATTTACTAGCCCTGTAACTTTACTAGCTCAGTAGATTGACCTCTGTGTGGGGGCCTCAGTTTCCTTATCTGTAAAATGGAGCTAATAACATGTGTACTGATTACCTTACAAAGTTGTTGTGGTGATTAAATAACAATGACTATGAAAATGTTTAACAAACAGTAAAATGCTAAACAACAGTATTATATTATCATTTTGGCATAGTTTTCTCATTCCCTTCCTTAAGCTTGAATAAAGGACAACAGTACCACATCCTCTTGATACACAAAACCTTTTCTGCCAAAAAAACAATCCTTTGTCTTTTTGACATTCATTTCCTTTTCTTTATGCTATTTTGTTTCTGCACTGGCTGAAACTAGATACTTCAAACAGCTTCACTGGATCTGCTACTGGTGAAATAAACGTATTAGGAATCGATGGTATCTATACTCTAATACTATGATTGTACCCATACAATTCAACTTGCCATATAATTATTCACTTATCAACTGTTTCTATGTAAATAGATGGATTACAGGATTTAAAACTAGAAAGGACCTTAGAGACCCTTTTTTCTTGTTCCCAACCTATTGGACAAGAACAGAGGTGCTACTAAGTTATTACAGAAGGTCCAAGGACCCACATACACACAAAACACTGTCATTTGAGTCTTCGGCTACAACAAAATAAGCAGTATCACTCTATACTTAGCAAAAATACCTTATGTAGACTGAATCAATTATAGATTTTACTTATGCATTATTTTTCAAATGAATGCTTTTGTGATTAATAAAATATAAACATTTAAAAGCATTACTGAATTCGAAGTAGCTCTTCCCATGAAGTCTCTCAGTCAACAGTAGTTATAACTGCTGGGGTCCAAGAGGGGGGAGAGCAGTGGTTAAAATGAGTCTTTACACTCAAAAAGGCTGATAATCACTGACCTAGCTCAACCAGAGGGTTTATGTGACTTGCCCATGTCAGCAGCAGAGCTTGTCTTCACACTCAGGTCTTCTGACTTGAAATCTTTTGACTTTCGATGTTTCATCCCCACCAACTTCCAAGCTGGTGAGCTGCTTCTGAGGCACCCCAAGAGTACTCACAAATAGTCTGATCTCCCAGGGAGCTTTAAGCCCCTCACCATTTCCTAAGTTTGGTCTGTTTTGACAACATATTTGGAAACCAACCACATATTACCTTGTAATCATACATATCGTTAGTTTTATTTGACTTCTCTATTGCTATTTAATTTTCCAGATGCTTATATCTCATCTCCACAGAATAGAATCTGCACATCCAAATAGGTATTGTCCTTCAAAGAAACCACTTTGGGAGATTATTCAGTTACTTATTCCAATGTTTCTGTTGGCACTAAAAAACCCCACCACATTAGGAATGCCTCTTTTAAAACTCAGCAAAGTCTTTCCCATGACCATGCTTTGGACCCAAACCACCACGACACCACTTAATCACTGGTCTGAAAGGACTTATGGCAGTTTCCAAAATTCAAAATCCATCCCACAAAAGACAAAGATTGCCACCATTAAAAATATTAAAAAGAACCTGATATGGGTTCTGAGGGTGAATAGAAAGGAAGAAGTTCATTAAATATCTTGAGCAATGATAGAATCCTGGAAATAAGTGGCTCTAGAACACACACACACACACACACACACACACACAGAGATTTATGTGTGTATACATATGTATGTATCTCATATCCTTACCTCTCTTACAAAAAACTGCTGTGCATTAAGTTATGGTTATTACTTCTTTTTGAAACTATCCCATCCTCATTATAACATGGCCTTTGGGTGCTGAATGCTTGGCTAGCTCTAATGAACTTATTACTTTAATGGGAATCATTATAAGAGGAAGAAGCTATAAAGCTCATGAGAGAGAGAGGGGGCAAGTGTTTGAAAGTGACCAGCACAAGTTGGGCTAGCATCTCAAAAAGGGGGTGGTGGTGGTAATTTCACTCTGGAAAAAAAAAGAAAAGAAATAAAAGCATGTAAGGTCCACCTTCTGATGCATTCCACTAAACCATTTGGAGCAGATTCAGTCAAAAGAAATTAGAGATTCAAGGTGGGTGAATTCTTTATACATAATCCACTCTTAGAAATCAGTTCTCTTTCTTAAATAACAGCTGTTCAGTGTGTGCTATTATTACTGATATGCAACATCCTCAGGGCTACTTGGGAGTTTCAGAGAAGAAAGGTCTTCAAATTGTGCTTAAAACTAACCCCCAATTTCCTTATGATACTGGCAAAAGCAAAAAGCTGAACCATAGGCTATTAATGTGCAGCCAGGCTAGGGAAAAAAAATCTGTTTCCTCAGAAGACATGTTTAATGAGGCAACTGGGGTCTAAGGTGATAAATTAGAAATTCAACTAAGGGCACAGGGTTTAAAGAAGAGCAGAAACTTGAGGATGAAAAACCCAGGCAGAGGGTGTAAAATGTAAAGCCACATACTACAAAAATGTCAGCGTTGGCTGCTCATCATTTCACTTGGGCATCCACTACATTTTTCTGGGCTGAACAAAAATATTATTATGTGTGTGAGTATATAAAAACCTCCCTCCCCCCCAGCCCCCAAAGTACAACACCCTACCTTTCCATCTTCTGTGTATACGTTTTCGTTGTATCCTTTCACAATTGTTCGATCAATGAAGAGGCTCCTCATGACCACAATGACTTTCAGTACCTTTCCTAAAGTAACCTATTGAAACGAGGGGAAGAACAGAAAATTTAACATTTAATTACACGAACAATAATACCACTACTACCACCACTGCCATCACTACCACCATTATGATCACCACCTCACATTTATATAGTGCAAAGGCTGCCTCAGTTAATCACAGAGTTCAGAATGTCTCTTTTAGAAAATAGGATAAGTTAATGCCCTATCCACCCACTTAATCTCTGACAGTAGTACTGAGGGAGGTTTTTATGAGATAATTCCACAGTTGTCTTTCTTGACATCACCCTAAAAAGCCCAAGGATAGCCAACAAATTCCCTTTGTAACTGCTTTTGGATCAATCACCCACTAGTTCAGAGAAACACATTTTGAACCTATTCATATTTTCAGCTTGTATAACCTTTCAGTGGAAGGAGTCCCATATGTTTACTACCTACTGTGTAAAGTAATTCTTCCTTTCATCTGCCCTAAAATTACCTTATTCAATCATCAAGGGGGGCTCTAGAATTCTGAGGCTCCGAGGTGCAGTGAGCAGGTCTGTTGTTCCCTTTGACCAGCCTGTCCAGATTATAACGGCTGCCAGTAGAGGGAGGTGGGCATATGTACATTCAGGGACACATGGCAAGCACAAGGTAGGGAATATTAAATAGATCTTATAGTTGAACTATACATTTACAAGAAAAGCCGGTCAGGATGGACATGAAATTTCTAAAAATGAACCCAAAGGTAAAATGGGAACAGCTGATTTTTACATTCATTACAAGATCGCATCTTGAGAAATGCCCATAAATCCTTTTACATTTTCAGTTGTGCTAGAACCTAAGTGTGGGCGGGGAGTGAAAAAGAGGCCTAAGGAAAAAGAAATGCAGTCATGTGTTCCAGGGAAAAAGTAAACGGATAAGTAACAAGTATAAAATCAGTTCCCAGTATTTAAGTGTGATGCTTTGCGTGCCCTTGTACTAACTCTTCAATAATCTTCCTAATGAACCGTTTGTTGTTCCCATTTCATGGATGCGACAACTGAGGCAAAATCATTACCTAACACAAAATATAACTAAGTGGCAGAGCCCTAACGTTACATTACTCTTCTACATAGTACTCTAATCATTAAATAGGCTTTTCCAATGAGGCATAAGAACAGTGTTTAATTGGAGGAAGAGAAGAAGTATTATGGGTATAATTTGGTTAGGATCTAGGTGAAGACAATAGCTTAAAACACAACTCAACCATCTTTAGTTTCCACACTACAGGCAGTTAGGTAGTACAGAGAATACAGTGCTAGCTGGCTAGGTTTGGAGTCAGAAAGACTTGAGTTCAAGTCCAGCCTCAGACACTAGCTGTGTGACCTTGGGCAAGTCACTTAACCTCTGCTTGCTTCATTAATTTTCTCATCTAAGACAGGAATGATAATAGCACCTACCAAATAAGGTTGTCATGAGGATAAAACCAGAAAATATTTGTTAAAAAAATTTTTTGGGGGGTAAAGATATTTACAAACTTTAAATCATTATATAAATACTACCTATGTTACTACAACTTTCCTGTGGATGTTCTGTCCTGGGCCCTCTTTTCTTCTCCCTCTATACTATTTCATTTGGTGATCTCATCAGCCCCCATATCATCTTTATGTTGGTAATTGTCAAATCTATTTATCCAGCCCAAACCTCTTAGTTGTCCTCCAGTCCTGCATCTCAGATATCTTGAAGTAAGTAGATGGCCCATATACATCTTAAACTCAATATGTTTCCCCCAAACAATTCCTCCTTCCTGACTTCCCTATTATTTTTGAGGGGATTGCCATCCTCCCACTCACTCAGGCTTAGGTATCTCCTCCATTCCTCACTATCTCTCACTCCCACATGCAATCTGTAGTCAAGGCCTGCCTTTTTTGCCACCCTGGGAACGGTCCTCATCACCTCACACCTTGTTGATCTGCCTGCCACAAATCTCTTTCCATATTCCTAAAGTACAGTTCTAACCATGTCACCTCAAGTCCCTACTCCATAAACTCCAGTGGTTCCCTACCACCTCCAGGACCAAATATAAAATCCTATTTGATGTCTGAAGCCCTTCCCTTCACTCTCACCTTTCCAGCCTTCTTACACCATACATATCCCTCCCCTTTTCCTCACCCCCAAACATACTCCAGTGATCCAGTGACACTGACCTCTTTATTGCTCCTCAAAGAAGACACTCCATTTACTAACCCCAGGTATTTTCACTGGCTACTCCCCATGCCTGGAACATTCTGTTCTCTCTCCTCATCTCTGCCTCCTGGCTTCAGGTCCCGGCTACAAGAAGTCTTTCCCAACCTCTCAATTCTAGTGCCTCTGTTGATTATTTTCTATTTATCCTGTACACAGTTTGTTGTACAGTTGTTTGCATGTTGTTTCTCCTGTTAAATTGTAAGCTCCTCAAGGACAGGGGCTGTCTTTTATTTTTCTTTGTATTCTTAGCTTTAGCATAGGGCATGGTGTTCAAACGTCTATTGACTGATGGAGGTTTTCTTGATTTCAAGGCCAGCTCTCTATCCACTAGGCTATGAGCCCCTCAAACATTAAAAAGGAACCAGAAGAAGAAAGTCTCTAGACGTTTGAGTGAGTTTATGAAAAGACACAAATAAGGATCACATAGGATTAGAAATCACAAACAGATCACAAATAGCACCACTGGAAGAAGAGCTCAGATCAATGACATGTTGCATCCACTGAAACCCACTGACTGTATCCCCTCAACACTGGGGCAGCACTTTGAATGTTTCCATACTATTTTTTTATATCTATTACCTCAAATATCTTATGTAACCAGAAATCACTTCTTCAATACAACAGTTAAGTCAAGAAGATACTAAGATCAGTGATTCTGTCTTCGAAGTAGATTTTAGCTATTAACAAAATAAGGAATAATATTGTAGTTTAGTAGGTTCAGTAATAAGTACTTGACTCTATTGCCCTTCATCACCTGAAAATGGATGTCAAACCACCCGCCCTCCTTCAGGGAAAACCTTTGCAGAATCACGTTTGATTTCTCTTTACCAGCGAACACAGGGACCAGAGACACAGCTTCTACAAGCCAACAATATCTGACTATCCTTTTATGGAGCTGATAAACAGTGCCAATCAGTAGAAGTTTCAAGTTTTAAAGTTGGAATTTGATAGAAATAAACAAAAAAGTGTTCCATGAAATTTTAAATGTCTCTTTTACTATCTAACACTGAAGCAGAAAGATGAACGGATGCATTTGAGGGAAGGTTTGGTAGCTAAAGGTAATGAATGGGAAAGAAGCAGGTTATTTTGGTCTTTGAATCTCTAGGAATATTTGCTAAGGTCACACATAAAGTAATGTCTAGTTTATAAAGCATTTTCCCTACAACGACTATGTGAGATAGGTGGTACAAATATCATTATGCCCATTTTACAGATGAGGAAATTGAGGAAAGATTGTTTATTTTAGTCAGCCTAGAGCAGTAGTTCTTAATCCTGGGGTCCATAAATTTTGTTTCAAACAAATTTAATAACTATTTCAATAAAATTGCTTTGTTTTGCGATTCTACTTATTTTATGTATTTAAAGATTATTCTGAGAAAGGGTCCATAGGCTTTACAAGACTACCAAATGAGTTCATAACATAAAAATTCAGATTTGAGGCAGGGAATCTTGATTTTCTCCACAGTGTAGGGAAAAGGAGGACAACTTAAACTAAATTCCAGATCAAAAGATACTCAGGGTTTTTTTTTAAACTGATACTTTTTATGTGACTTTTTTTAAGTCAACAAAAATCTACTTCTCTCCTTTCCACTCCACAATTACCCCACTGAGCAAGGAGGAAAAAAACAAAACAAAACCTTATCACAACATGTACAGTTAAGCAAAACAAATTTCCTCACTGGTCATGAAAAAAAGGGGGCTCATTTTATCCTCTGAGTCCTTCACCTCACTATTAGAAGGAGGGTGGTATACTTCATTATGAGTCTTCTGAATCCTCGTTGGTCATTACACTGATTAAAGCTATTTGTCTTTACAAAACTGTTACCTTTGTATTAGCGGTTTTCCTGGTTCTGCTCACTTCACTCAGCCTCAGTTCACATAAGTCGTCCCAGTTTTTCTGTGAAACCATTCCTAATATAATTTCTTATATTACACTGATATTCCATTGCATTTCTATACCATGACTTGTTCAGCCATTCTCTAACTGACAGGTACCCTCTCAGTTTCCAATTCTTTGCCTATTCAAAAAGAGAAGAAGCACTTTTGCACATCCTTAGGGTTTGTTTTGCTTAGGACTAATTCCTCCCTTACTCTACACTTCCTCCTACATTCCCCTTTCTCTTTTCTCTCCTATTCCTACTTCTCTTGTTGAGTGAAATGTATTTCTGTATCCCCATATTCTTCCCTCCTTTGACCAGTTCAGATGAAAATGAGGTTCAAATGGCAGCAGCTTGCCCCATACCTTCTTCTTTGTTTGGATAGACTTCTATTTGCACACCCCTATTATGAGAGATAATTTTCCCACATGGTCCTCTCCTTTACCCCAACTAATATATTCCTCTTTCCCTCCCTTTCTAGTCTTCTTTTAATATGATCAAGACATAAGAGGACAACTTCCTGGCCCTCTCTAAGTTAACTCCTTTCATGACCCTTGATGTGGAGACAGTTCAGAAGCAATACATATATTACCTCCCCCATATTCAAATGTAAATAATTTATCCTTGTTTAGCTTCTTAAAAATTGATACATGATGACTTTTTAATGTTTCTTTTAACTCCTGTGTTTGTACTTCACAGTTTCTAGGCAACTCTTGGTCTTTTCATTAGGAATGTTTGGAAGTCCTTTATTTCATCAGACATATCCCACCCCCCATAAGATTACATTCTGTTTTGCTGAATTATTCGGTTGTAAGCCTATATCCTCTGCTTTCTAGAACACCATAATCTAAGTTCTCCATTCCTTTGAAGTGATGATTGCTAAACAGTGTGTGATTTTCACTGTGGCTCCTTGGTACTTTAATTCTTTCTTTC